AGCTACCAACCAGAGACTGTCCACAGAGCATAGAGGCCATGGAGGGCCAAAAAGGGGGGTCCGAGCAGGGCAAGGGAAGGTGGATGGCAGCTCACAAGGCTGAAATGGGGCAGGTGACCCAGAAGGGCGCTTCATGCAGGAAGAAAGCCTAGGAGGCCAGAAGTACCACACAGAGGGTGGAGACCCAGACCAGCGGTTTGGAGGACCCCCATCACGGATCAGAGATGGTCCCCTCTGAGCCTGAGGGCTTTGTAGGGTCAGGATAATTCCATGTTTCATCAGTTGTACAAGGTGCATTTGTTCGCAGTTCAGCATGGCTGAAATCAGAATGTATTTATGGAGGGTGGCATCTTAGGTTTGACACAATGCGCCTCCCACAGTTGCTGGGAGGATGTGATGGCAGAATGTAAGGAAAGCACCTAATGTGGCATTTGACACACAGTAGGAGCCCAGTAAGTGTGAGCTTCCTTCCCTCTGAACTGGCCAAAGCTTTTGGAAATTGGCTTGAAATTTTCTAAAGGGGCTCCTCCCTTCCCACCTTCATTGAAAGGTGCCTGGCGGTAACAGTAACCTCCTGCAATAAGCTCAGGTGAGCTGCTTGTCAGAGCCAACGGCCTGAATGACACAGTCGTCTTTATGAGTGGAGCTCTTGTCCTGTCACCTGTGGGCTGTGATCAAAGGCTGGTCCTCTCTGCCTGGCACCTCCTTGCTAGTTAATCAGGTGAGCTCTGCTCAGCCTGTCACTGGGTGCCCTTCAAGATTTATTCACTGGGGAGTGGAGGGGTGGGGGGTTGGTGCTCAGTGCTGGATTCCTACCCCCAGGCCCACCGTGGGGCTGATGGGGCCGGGATGGATCCCCGTGTATAGGTCGTATGACCTTGGATAAGTCACTTAACTTCTCTGAGTCTCAGTTTCTTCATCTGTAAAATAGGAAAACTAGCAATAGCATTGCTAAAGGTTATTGTGAGAAAGCATTCATTCATCTGTTTAACAGACATTTATTGAGCACCTACTGTGTGCCACGTAGGCTCTGAAGATGCAGTGGTGAATGCAGCAGACACAATTCCTGCTCTCGTGTTGCTGACCTTCCAGTGGTAAACAAATCACCCTATCAATATCGTTTCAGAAAGTCTTAGGAGAAAATAACATGAAAGGCTGAGACAGCCCACGCCTGACGGAGGAGGGGCAGGAAGCTTAAGTCCAACTAGTCAGGGTCTAGGGAGCCTCTCTGAGGAGATGACACTCGAGCTGAGACCCAAATGATGAGATGGAGCCACTTAGATGACCTAGGGAATAAACATGCCAGGGTGTATAGCAGATGCAAAGGCCCTGTGGTTGGGTGAAGCTCAGTGTGCTTGAAGAACAGAAGGCTGGTACGGCTAGGCCCATGACGAGCACAGACCAGCCCGGAGGGAGGTGGGTAGGAGAGGTCCACAGGAGTCAGATCAGGGAGGGCCTCATGAGCAGGTCAGGAAGTGGACTTTCATCCACTGGAGGGGACACCGCGAGAGGGGTTCAACCAGGGGCACGTCACAGAATAAGGACTCTGGCTGCTGTGAGCGGGAAGCCCAGCTCGGTAGCTGGTAGGCTGCACCATGATGACTGTCCCTTCTTTGGGGGATCGGGAGAACCCAGATCCCTCACACAGACCACTGGGATTGAACCCAGGGACCCCCAACACCCACCGAGCCCGCCAGTCGGTTCCCATTATCCTGACACCCCAAACAGTGACTCATGGAATAAGACAGTCAACGGTTGATGTGCTTGGGTTAAAATTATACAGAATGCATGTGATATTAAAAATCCAAAGAACATGTATTTTGAGCACAGGGGATGCCAAAATGTGGCTGCTTTATTTCAGGAATTACTTGGTTGGTGCGAACGGATGTTTATTGGAGCTTTTGCTCCTGGTGTGGGGGAAACAGGTATATGCAGCTCAGTTGCTAAAAATAGGGAGATCCTCAGCCCATTTTCATGAGATGGGTCCTGAAACATTGCCCCCACCTTTCCGTGCCCACCTCCGGCTGAGGGTGGGAGCAGATTCAGAGAGCTGGCTGTGGCCAAGCATCTCCTGGGAAAGGGTTTGCAGCCCCGGGGGGCGAGTGCCTGCCCAGGGCCTTGGGAGCGCAAATCCAGGCTTGATTCTGGTTCTAGTTCCCTGTGTAACCTTGTGCTGGGACCAGGGTCCGAGTGGCTGCTCCCACTCCTTGAAGACAGGGACAGTACTGCCCACAGTAAGGGCTGTTGAAAGACTGTTGTAGACCCTTCGGGGAGCGGGGGCGCTTCCCTTAGGTGGGCATGTGGGTTCAAGTGGGGGCCAGGCCTTCAGAGCCTGACTGCCTTAGGCCAGAGGCCAGAAGTGAGCTGGGAGAGGGAAAGGCGCTCACTGCCCAGAGTCCACAACGGGTCACTTTCACAGACGGGCACATCAGCCAGGGAGGTGGCGTTATGGGGGGCCCAGCTGAGGCTGGCCCTTCAGGGGAGAAGGCCACCAGCACTTTGCGTGCCACCTGTCCGCTTGGGCATGGCTTTCATTCAGTCAGCCACTTGTCTTTCACTCCTTCGTTCACTCATCAATACTTAGCAACTGGTCTTGGTATGTTTAGGGCTAAGTTCAAGTTCTCGAGGGCAGCACCTGAGACTGGACAGTGGCCTGAGCTGGACAGAGGCTCAGGTCACAGAGGGCTTTGCCGTTCCGCTATCCGAATCCTAGGAGGGAACAAGGACTCCAACTGGGCTGGACAGGAGCCCCACTCTCTGACAGAGTGACTCAGAGCGGCCGCAGTGGCTCAAACTCTGTCCCCAAGCAGAGAGCTAGGTGTCAGGGTAGCCTTCCACCTCCCTCCCCTGGCCCCTATCCTGCGAGGACAAGGCCAGTGTTGCTGGGAGACCCTGGCAATAGTGGGGGACAGGAGCTGGTGGCAGATGGGTGGGCACACGGCCTCTTGCAGGCAGCTGCCAGAGTTAGGGGCCTGCTTTATTAGGTCTTTTCAAGAGCTGTGGCCACACACAATGGGGGGTCAGGGGCACCCCCTGTCCTTGCTTTCTTCTTTGACACCTGCTTGACCACCTGTTCCTCAGAAGGCTCCCAGCCCCTTGCCTTTTCTTTCTGCCGGCTCCCTCCTCTTCCTGCTTCCCCTCCAGCAGGCACCCCCAATCCTCAGGGCTCCCCGCAGGCCAGACACCCACTCTCTTTCCTCCCCTATGTTCTTCCCAGCACAGCTGGGCTCAGAAGCCTGTCTGTGTCCTTTCGCCCTGGAGGATCCTTCTTGCTCCTCTCCACCTGACCTTCTACTCTTCAAATTTGGGGCTCACATAGCCCCTAAAAGAATCTCGAAAACCACAGATGACACACAAACATTCTTAGATGGCTTTTAAATGTTTTCATCGTAAATGTAAACAATTGTAAAGGATGCCATTTCCAGCACACCGCATACTGAACAAATAGTTTAAATAAACTCACATCACCACCTTGGAGCTAATAGATTCTGCTCATTCATCTTCCCAAAGACTCCACCACGCAAACTGAACGGCAAAACCAACCCTCTCTGCCAAACCGCAAAGCCAGGTCCACCTGACTTTCGATCAGGAAACTATATGAGTTTATTTTTCACTTCATAAACCTGCTCATGGGCATCTCTGCACCGACTCTGTCTCTGAATTCTATTTGTAATTCTAAGATGGGTAAGGCATCTGACGCCTGAACGAAGCAAGATGATGGTGCCTTCTGTGTTTCTTACTTACACTGTCTTGTTTCACTTGCCCTGGGGTGTTCCTTCAGGGGCTGGACTCTTTCAAATCACCTTCCCTTTGGTGCCCCCCACCCCAATTCTTTTCTTTTAAAGTTTTTATCGTGAAATATAACACAGAGGAAGAAGCCCATTGTGCGTGGTGGCTAAAGCTCACAGCAAAACTAAAATGTGCAGCTCGATAATTTATCAAAAAGCAAACATCCAGTTCAAGAAATAGAACATTTCTAGCTCCCCACCAACCTCCCCCAGCCCCTCCCAATTGGTACCCCTCGATCCTGTTCAAAGGTGACTACTAGCCTGCATTTGATGATGGTCATTTCTTGCTTTGCTGTACGGTCTTATCACCTACACCTGCCTGGTTTTGAACGTGATGTAACAGAGTCCCATAGCTCGTGACGTCTGGTGCCCAGCTGCTTTCACAGAATGCGGTGTCGGGGAGTCACCCAGGCTGGTGTGTGCAGCTGTGATTCATTCTTTCTCATCGCTGTAGGTACCCCATTACATGAGTGTATCCTGTCTATTGATCCATTCTGCTGTTTATGGATGTTCGGGTTGTTCTGAGTTTGGGACTATTTTGAATAAAAGGGCTGTGAATATTCGTAGACGGTTCTCTAAGTTCATATGAGTATGCATCTCTTTGAGTGTGTATCTAGGAGGGGTTTTACTGGACTGTGGGGGTAGATGTATGTTTCATCATAAAATACCGTGAAATTGGCAATGTGGAAGTTTCCCGTCGCTCCACATCTTGGTATTGTCAAAATTTCAAGTTTTAGGCAATCTGGCTGGGGAGCCATGGTTATCTCGCTGTGATTTAATTTCTCATTTCCCTGATTATTGATGAGATTCAGGACCATTTTGTATATTTACCAGCCACTGGAATATTCTTATCGTGAAATGTATTTGTGTTTACTCAAGAAACAAGTAAGTCCTGTGTAGCTTATATGTGTGTGACATGTCTTTTCTCACTCTAGAAGGTCCCTTTTTATTTTCTCATTAAATCTTTTGACAGAAAAGAATGTCGAATTTTAATGTCGTCAGTTTTATCCATCTTTTTCACGGCCAGTACGTTCTGTGTCATGTCGAAGGATCTTTCTGCTACTCCCGGGTGATGAAGATATTCTCTTATATTACTTTCTAATAGTTTTACTGTTTTGTCATTAACACTGAGATCTACGATTCCCTTGAAATTGAGGTTGCAAATGATGTGAGGTAGGGATCAAGTTTCTTTTCTTTTTCTATGTGGATATCCAACTGGCACAGCATTACTCAGTGAAAAGACTGCCCCTTCTCTCCTACTGCTTGGTAATGTCACATTTGTCATAAATCATAGGTCCGTCTATGTCTGGCATCTCTCTTCTATTCCGCTGGTCTATGTGTCAATTGTAGCAATACACATTATCTTCCTTACAGAGCTTTATAGGTATTAGTATCCAGTAGAGCAAATTCTTCCACTTTGTTCTTTTTATTTAAATGTCTTTTTGAAAAATGGTTATACTTCACCCTTTGTGTTTCCATGTGGATTTTACAATCAGTTTTCCAAGTTGCGCGCGCGCGCGCACACACACACACACACACACACACACACGTACCTGTTAGGATTTTGATTAGGGTTGTGTGCATTGAAGCTATAAATCAGTTTGCAGAGAACTAACTTCTCTAGAATACTGAGTCTTGCAATCCATGAATATGGTATAGCCTTCCTTTTAGGTTTTGGATTCCTCTCAAAAACGTGTTATAATTTTCTGAGTATTTTTTAGATAAACCGCTTTTTTTTAAAGACTATGAAATGAGTAATCGTACTGGCAACATTTAGATATGCCAAAATCATAAAGACAGCAATGTTCCCAAAATGTTTTCTTTGTAACCCCCAGCCAGTGTGGTATCAAAGAGACTTCAAATTGTGCCTGTGCCTGGGCTCTCCCTCCATCCCCACTTCCTCTGCACACTCGGAAGCCAGCCCAGACCTTGGACCTCGTAAATATGGACAAAGTGAACACTGCCTGTCACACTCCTATCCCACAGTATTCAACTCATTGCTGGAAAACGGGCAACCTCATTCATGCCAGCATGCTAAGGGCAGATCAGGCAGCATGTCAGCTCCCAGATAAAACTCTATTTTTTAAAAGTAGTTTGTCGAGTTCTTTCCTGTTAGAAAAGTTTTCTACCTGTTCATTACAGAACGTTTAGAAATTGCCAACAGATAGAAAAAGGAAAAACAAACAAACAAACACCAGTATTCCTCTTACTCAAAGATAATCGTTGGTCGCATTTTGCTGCACATTCTTTCCTCTTGTTTCTATGCACGTTTTGTATTTGCTTATTTGGTTTTTATAAGCTTGACGTCATTCTGAGTTTACAGTTCTGTGTTCAGCTTTTTTCACTTAACATTGAAGCATAAGCCTTCACACAGCAGCCCAGGAGCTCTCGGAGGTTCTGTTGAGTGACATCGTTTGCTAGACATTTCCCTGTGCTAGGAGGCGTGTGTCCCTTTATGCTGGGGAACTAGTATGTAGTGAAGATCTCTGGGCATTTATTACCTTAGTCCCTACCTAACTGGGATTATATCCTCGGGACAGATTCCTGGAAGTGGATTCCAGACTCGAAGAATGTGAACAGAAGCTTAGGAGGTGTTTAAACACAGGAGTTAGAACCTTCAGCTCTGGCTGCTCATGGGGCATGCGCGTCTTGAGATGCTCGTGTAAATGCTTCAGGCCGCTCAACTCATTCAATTCTCACAACTCTCACAGAGAGTTTCTGTTATTTGCCTCATTTTATAGATATAGAATCTGAGGCAGAGAGGACACACGACTAGCCCAAGGCCACAGGCAGTAAACGCCCAAGCTGGGATTTGAACCCAAGCTGTCTGCCTCCAGGGCTTGCGCCCTTAACCACTCCAGGAGGGTGAGGATACTGTTGGCTCTTTGAAGCACCCATGCCTCCTCTTATTGGCTCCTTCCTCTGGGCCTAAGGAACCTCTTCTTTTTATAGGTGAGGGGTCAGTGAGATGGAGGACCCAGCCCTGGGGTCCCCCAGATAATCCTGACTCCACCGCATCCAGCCGTGCAACCATGGGCAAATCCTTCACCTTTCTGAGCTTGGTTCTCCATCAGTAAAAAGAGCAAAGAGGGTCCCACGAAGATGGCAAGAGGCCATGGAAGGGAAATGACTCTGTGAACTGGAAAGCACGCCCAGGTGTTGGATGTCCACAGGTCCATCTGCAGAGCTCTCAGGGCTGGGGGAGAAAGGAGGCTCCCCCAAGTCCCCTCCAACCTCCACCCCCACCATGGCCCAGGAACCCAGCTCGCCCCACCTCACCTTGCCTGACTGCTTCTCTTGCACCAGCTGGAGTATGATGGGCAGCAAGTACGACCGCTTATCCCGTTGTCCCCAAGGTCTGGCCCTAGGCCTGGCACAGAATGGATGATGCTCCAGCAAAGGTCGTGAGATGGAGTTTTAAAGAGCCCTGCAGAGACTTCACCCAGTTAAGGGACCAGTGATGGCAGAGCAAGTAGGGGCCAGAAATTTGGAAGGGGAGGGGAGGAGAAAGAAGAGGGCAGTTACCTGTCCGCACCTCGGCTGGCATCAATGGCCCTCATTTGTAGAGACTCGAGAGCCATCTGAGCTCTGCCTTCTCCTGGCCGTGGGAGCTCAGCGGTTCCTTCCCCTCACTGCGCTTTGGTTTCCTCTCCTGCAAAATGAGAATTGTGTTAATAACCACACTGCTAGATTGTGAGACAGATCACTCAAAGGGCGCAGCCTGGTGCCCGCTACATGGTTGGAGCTTTGTAACCAGGAACGGAAAAACATCGCTTTTGCAGGTGAAGACCTGCTGGGTTTGGAAATCGAGGGTTTGATGGACAGAATTTGCTGAAAAGAGCCTTCCTGTAGCAATTTTAAGACCGAGCTTTGTGGTTTGACTGCAGCCTGGATGATCGGCTCTCCAGTTATGGGGAGGAGTCTGAGCAAACGCCTTGGGTTCCCTGGAGGAAGGGGTCTTTTCGCCCACGTGTCTGTAGTGGGCATCTTCCCCACCAGCTCAGTGCATGCCCTTTTTACGGGGTGCACCTGACTGCCTGCTGTTGCATGGGGCACGGCCTGCCAGGGCATGCCCCCAGGGCACGATGCCAGCGAGCCCTGCCGGGGCCCTCCCTCTACCCACTGCCCTGGGAGGCTGTGCCAACACTGCACAGTCAAGAGAGTCAGCCCCACCCAGGGGCCCCTGCCACCCAAGCACAGGTCCTGGTGCCAAGGGAGGGTGGCATAGTCTGGATGTGGTTAAGGGGGGGGGGTGGGGCAGTCAAAGCCAGGAGAGGTTATGACTGGAGGCTGATGCCCAGGCCCAAGGATGCACCTCATCCCCTGCTTCTGTTTGCAGAAGTCTTGCGACAGGGACCTCTCTTTCTCCCAAAGCCACCTGCCGCACCTTCATTCTAGAGACTACAGTTCCGTTCATGCATCCCTGTTTTGTTTGTTTGTTTGTTTGTTTGTTTGTTTGTTTCTCACAGCACAGATCACTGTTGATCACACCAGAGTCCAGGGGTACTATCAGCTCAAACTCATTCCTTCACAACCCTTCCCTACCCCTTTCTTCTTCCCTCCCATCTTCCCTCCCTGCCTTCCCTCCTTCTGTCTTCCCTTTGCCCGGTTCAGAGCACTGCGTCTCTGCAGGCAGTTTAGTCAAACGTGCATTGAATCCCTGCGCATGCCTGTCCCATTCTGGGCACTGGGGATTCATAAATGGACATGGCCTGAGTCCTGCCCACAGGAGGCTTGCCATCTGCCAGGGGACTGCACAGAGGGACAACAGCCTTGAGGGTGCACGAGGGAACCTCAGAGGGGTGAGCAGCTACCGTGTATGCCTCAATATTAGGCAACCCCATTAAAAGTTAAGGGCAATCCTAATTGCACAATAGAGTTGAATAATATAAACTTTAAGGGATGAAGATAAAATAGTCAGACATGTACTTGTAATATTTTTTTTACGGAGACATATATATTTAAAATGTTTTTATATAAAATATTAATTTGGAAAGACTACTTTTGTCCAATCTCAAATTTCAAGAAACTATCACCAATGAACTTTTTTTTTTTTTTTGACATTTGATTTTTTATTTCCATATGCAATGTATTTTTTTTATGGTAACATTGGTTAATAAAATCCAGTAAGTTTCAGGTATATAATTCAACAGTAAGGCATATATATATATTGCATCATGTTTTTACCACCCATAGTTAGATTTCTTTCTGTGACCACATATTTGACCCCTCTTATCCCACCTCCTTCCCTCCTCCCCCCCAACCCGTTCATCAGACAATATGGCAATATACAATATATTGCTTCAGCTGTTTGAGAAGGCTGTAATGTATTTTTATATTGATATAGAAAATTATAAATTACATTGACTTAGTATCCATAATCACTATATATATATATACACACACAAACCAGTTCTAAAAAAAAGACCGGTTTAGAATTTACGAGTGAAAACCTCACAAGGTACGGTAAAACAATTAACATGCTTAGGTGCCAGATTCTGATTTCTAGTTTAAAAATACTAGCCTGTAAAATGAACGCACTCTAATCCCATTAGCGCACGAGCATTTTTCAACAGACTTGCCTAATGGGATTCGGGTACGTTAAATATGCAGATGGCTCTGAAATGTTCATTGGTGATGGTTTGGTTCGAATTCTTTCCCTGTGGCGTTGACACCAGGGCTACCATCATCGGGTGGTGTGTGTGTGTGTGTTGGGAAGTGTGCTTTTTTAGTTTTCCAGAGCATGTCTTATTCACAGGGACCAAGACACTAAAACAGCCCTTTTGGATCCATGTGTCAGGTGACCACTGGACACTGTGTCCACTCTACAGATACCATGCATAACATTAGGACACTTGGGTTCATTTGCTACAGGTGCGCATTTATGATCTGCACAACACTGCCACTTATTTGGTTGAAAGTGACCTTGAAAAGGCCTGTTTACAACAACTTCCCTCCCTTGCAGTCACCAAGCCCCAATTGCACTGCATTGCTTTATAGAAGTGAAATTTCCTTGACTCCTTTCATGATAGTGCTGACTTCTATATGCATCCCAAACTCACATAGATTGAGGGTGTATCGAACTCATGTACCTTTCCCAAATGGGACTTGGTGTTCAAAAATTAAGTAACCGAGAGAGCACCAGTAATATGAGAAGTTAGTAACTCAAATACAAGGCGACCTTCTGTTCAGACATAAGTCAGGGCTTGGCGGGGATTGGAGAAGGCTTCCTGGAGATGGGGGCTTTGAGCTGATCTTAAAGAAATGAGAGCCTTCTGAGCTGGGTCAGACACTCCAGGCAGAAGGCACAAGACAAACTGAGCTGGGCTGGGGGCTCTCCGGGATATCCCCGCCTTTCATCCACACAGCTCTGGGCCAGCCTCACCAGCTGGGGAATCTTGGGCACCCCTTCTCCACTCTCTGAGCCTCACTGCCTATCTGCGAAGTGGGGGTAAATGGCACTTATTTCATGTGGTCTCAAGGAATACAAGAGCTTGGAAAGTAGAGCTGGAATTGGGCCTTCTTGGACAAATCATTCCACCTCCTGAGTCTAGAGTTCTGATCTGCAGAATGGAGTCCAGTGAGGGCAGGGACTAGCAGGCTTTACTCCCCGCTGAGTGAGGTCTGGACTCCTGCACAGACAGGAGAAGTGCTCAGAAAATCCCTGCGAGGTGAATGAATGAATGAGGAATGCCTGTTACTCCCTCTGCGGGGCCACACTTGTCCCCAGCTCTTCCCATGGCGGATTCCTTGCTGTCCCTCAGATGGAGGCGACATGCCCCCAGGTTCTCCTTGAGCCCTCCAAAGTAAACTCATCACTCTTGTTTTGTTTTCTTTCTGGCTTTGATCATTAAATTATGTGATCTTAATTGTTTGTTATTTCTGTCTTAACCACTAGCATGCTTCGTCTGTGTTGTGGGTACAGCACCTGACACAGAATGTGTTTGATGAATATTTTAATGAGTGAGGGAGTGAATTCCTAAATATAGGGTCCCTCCCTCAATATTTTGACACTGCCTAGGTTTCTCCTAATTGTAGGTACTTGATGGCACTCCTACCCCAGTCACCTGATTGGACTGCCTTCTCCAAGTCTTTCAGTATGCTGTCCGAGGTGACCTTCCGGCCCGTGTGTACATCCCGCCCACCCCAACCCCGCACTCCGCCAAGGCGAGGGCTTAGCCTCCGGTGGCCCAGCACCTGGAACAGGGCTTGGCGCAAAGAAGGCCTTCTCAAAATGTTGGAATAAATGGGTGAAAAGCCAGCAGGCTGACGAGCCTGGCATCCCGAGGGCACCCAGGCACCCCGCGCGCCTTCCCGTCCCGGGCGCGGGAATGGCGAGGGCGGGAGGCTCGGCGGTTCTCCCGCCACCGGGTGCAAACTTTCAAAAGAT